AACTCTTTACTTAACATTACAAATGAGCTAGATATATCTATAGAAATAATGTTCAATTTGTTCGATGCGTATGTTTTATCTATTTTGAATTATAATTGTGAAGTATGGGGATTTAATAAAGCAAAAATATTGAACGTGTGCAAAGAAAATTTTGTAAATGGTTATTAATCTGAACTAGGTAGATTTCCACTGTATATTGAAAGATATGTTAGGATAGCAAAATATTGGTTAAAGTTACACGGCGATAAGAGTCAAAACTGCATTTTAACAACTATTCTAAGTTCTCAAAGAAATGATATATCAAATAACTAAAATGTTGTCAACTGGTCATCAAAAGTTCGAGACATGTTAAAAAACGCTGGATTTGCCGAAGAATGGTTATTTCCAGAATCGGTTAATATTAAAATTTTTATACCAGTATTCAGATCACGTCTCAGGGATGTATATGTAACCCAATGGCGAGCAGACATGGCGTTATGCTCTTTCTTGCAATTGTATTCCAATGTTAAAGTTAAATTTATCTTAATTTATTAGAAAATGCAAAACATAGATCAGTTCTTGCAAAAATTAGATTAAGTTCTAATAAACAACATATTGAATCTAGAAGATACAGGGGTATTGAAAGAAGTCAGAGAAAATGCACTTTATGTACGTCCGGGGATATAGAAGATGAATTTCATTTTAAATTAATATGTCCAATTTATAGTGATTTTAGAAGTATGTACATTTCAAGATACGTTACTGTTAATCCTAGTGTTTATAATTCATACAATTGTTAAACGCAGATAAAAATTGGTTATTAGAAAATTAGCAATATTTTGTATTAAAGCATTTGAAAGAAGAGACAATTTGGTAGATTAGCATATCAATTTGATATTATTGAATTAAATGAAGTAATTTATTTTTTGCATTCTCAATCAACTTGTTTAACTATGTCATAAATAGTTGAATATAACTGATTGAATTTATTATGATATGATTCTTGATGCATGCATTGTAATAATTATACATGTATATGTATGTTATGGTGATTGGTGTTGAGCCCAAGTCAGAAATAAAGTATATGTTCTGTTCTATAATACAGGACATCATTAAAATCACGTCAAAATATATACAAGGTCGTGCAAAACAATATTTACGGCATCGCAAAACGACACGGGTATGTGATTAGTGGCTGAAATTTTAGAAAAGAACAGGCACCTCATAGCGAAAGAGCTTTCAGCAACATTTGGTTTTACTATAAGTTTTTAAAAGTTGCCACTGCATTGTAAAAGGATATGTTTGCATTTCAAAGAAATTCCTTTAAGGTTTTTAGCTTCTTCGTGTTAAAACAAGTCATGGAATAAAACAAAACTAGGTTAAGATTATGAAAAGGTTATCAAATGTCAAACAGACATAAAGTCAGCATTATTCAGGTCTATTGTATTTAAAAAAATGATCGCTTTGTACTTTTCAGGTTCATTGTGATACCGCTGAAACCACAACATAACGATCTTCAAATATGGGAAATAGGCTGATCCGCAGTATTTTTGAATATTTTTGGCGACAACCTTCCGTGATGGACGACAAGGTGATTCCTTTATGATGATCTTATAATTAGATCTAATAATCACACAGTAACGATACAGCCGTACCTATTTGTAAAATTGCTGTTACGGAAACTATCGTATTTCTGTTCAACATATCAGTTAACCAATTTGTGTAATTTATCATTTTTGCTTAACCCGGAAGAGCTATATATGCAATACATTGTGGGTTCCTTAAAATGTCTTTACTTACATACAAATCGACATTTTGATGAAAATCATTTCTAATTATAAATTATTTGTGCAAATATGAATGAAACCAAGTTTGAAATATATCAAATCATCTACTTGAGGTAATGATTTCGGAACAATTTCTGTCAGATTTTACTACAATATCAACAACACTAACGCCAAGCTCTCTCTCTCTCTCTCTCTCTCTCTCTCTCTCTCTCTCTCTCTCTCTCTCTCTCCCTCTCTCTCTCTCTCTCTCTCTCTCCCTCTCTCTCTCTCTCTCTCTCTCTCTCCCTCCCTCTCTCTCTCTCTCTCTCTCTCTCTCTCTCTCTCTCTCTCTCTCCCTCTCTCTCCCTCTCTCTCTCTCTCTCTCTCTCTCTCTCTCTCTCTCTCTCTCTCTCTCTCTCTCGACTTGTTGGATTTGTTTGGCAATTTCCATGGTAACCGTATAAATCAAATCTGTCAAAATAGCCACACTGTATGAAGAAATAAAAGAATAAAAGAAATCTTATTGCTGCTGTTGTCTAAACGAACCTGTTATGTGTATATATATATATATATACGAAAATTGATCTTCTCCAAACGTTTTCATGATTGTTGATGTTAAATATATATGTTAATGTCATACATTGTTCGTTATTGTGCATGTTTTATGTCCTCACAGGATTTTAAGCTTATTGGAATACAATAAAATATCTACTGTCTACTGTCAAAAATGTATACGATTATAACAATCCCATAATCGTTAATTCCTTACAGTTGGTAACTGAATGCAACTGTAAATTGATTTACATGTATGATATTCGGTAATTTCACAACTAAATAATGATTTATATTTTCAGGGTAGAAAAGGATCTTGGGTATGTGTCTTTATAATATAGACGTTAGTTTAGACTTTATACAGTAGTTTTTCTCACACATAATCTAGATTGTCAAATATTTAATTAAAGTACAAATGTAAATTATATTGCAATTGTGATTAAATTTGTAAATATGAATAATTGCTTTTGTTAGAGAACACAAATCTATTTATCAGTTAGTTATGGTTTGATGGAAAGACTGCACAGTGTATTCCGGTGGGAGCGAATACTTTTAATGTTTGAAATTGAAAATTTTGAAGAAAAAAATCGTTTTAAAGACGGAATTCCTTGCAGGACCCTCGTACTCTAAATAACAAGTGGTCACAGTTGTATAAGGAATATGACGTGTATTTGCACCATCAATACAATTGCATACTGTATAGTGAATTACAATCCATATACTACATGATAATTATTTATCTATTTCAATAAAGCAAGGTTTTAGGCACACTGAAGGGAGTGAAACTTTCGACCAGAAGAAAGAGCTTCGCATTAATTTGTAAGTTTATTTTTAAATTATTTCTTTTTGAATACTTCGATAATCATTGTTACTTAGATCATGAATTCTTTGGCTCTTGAATTTATTTTGTAAGATCTTATTTTTTATATTTTTTTAAATTATTTCTAAGCATTTCATTCAGTTAAATAACGATTCTGATTCTTATATAAGTTCATTTTATTTTTTTATATTAGATCTTATTTATTATATTTTTGATTTATTATTCTAAGCATTTCATTCAGTTTAATAACTATTCGGATTCTTAAATCTATTCATTTTTTCTTATTCTTTTATCGAGCAAAGTCAATTTTGTTATCCAGACCAGTATGTAATTGTAATTGATATTATGTTTTGTAATATTTAAATTCCCATTATGCCTTTTTCAGTTGTTAAACATCTAACATGTTCTTAATCAATTATTTTAACATTATGAAACTTATGTTTGACATTTCTAAAGAATTGAAAAGATACAGATTTCTGAGACATACTGCGTCTTTAAAGAATTCATTCATTTAACAAATTAATGCATATTTAATTTGTTTTTCAATAAGCATTAAAGTTTGAAGTACCTTTTTATGTTAAAGTCAGATGTTAAATTATTACTATTATGGCTCTTTTAACAAACATACAATTGTCAAATTCTGACATCATAGAAAGATAAACCCTTTATCAGTAGAAAATTGAAAACAAAATTACAAGTTACCGGCGATTTTCCCAAAAATTAGTGTTTTGCTGTGATTAATGCTTCCGAGGATAACCTTTTCATTTCAAAATTAGATTTAAATAGTATAACCATCAGTCTTGTCTTTACACCAAAGACATACCAGTGACATTAAATGAAATTGTAGTTTTGTTTTTATCTTCCGCTGCCTCTTTAATTTTTAAAATTCATATATCATTATTGTGAAATGATTCTGCCAGAACTGTGTTTTCTGTATTAATTCTTTCATCTGGTGATGGTGGTACTGTTATTGGAAGAAGTTTTCACTCTGGATCACGATAGTAAGCCACTTGAATTTATCAGAGCACATGTCAGCCACCGCATCTAGTGAATAACAGTCCAGTCAATTTGTGTAACAAAAAAATAGCAAAATACTTCAAAAAATGAAAAAAAAATGACTGGAAATTTATCAACGATCTCATATAGGCACACATTATTTTCACACTCTGTTTATATAAAATTATAAATAATCTTGTAAACTTGTATGAAGTTTCTAGTCATAATTGACACAATGGCATAATAATGATAACATTACTTCTTTTTGTATGGAAGACAGATGTCGCCATTATTACTGTTCAACAAGCATACGATCTCTGCAGTTGTGCAGCAAAAAGTGCATGTGCAAAAAACATATCTAATGCATATACATGTATTATATATGTAACTGGCTTAGTAGATCTAGATCTATGGCATATTATCTTTAAGAGTTTATAGGAAAGATTAAAAGAAAATATAAGCGTTTATTGGGTTTGCTTCTTTTGAAAATTTTGAAAAGTTTATAGCATTGAATTCAAGCTTTGAATCAAGAACTGAATTTAGGATATACTATTTAACATGTCGTTAGTATGACATTTATCTGACACTTGTTCGCAAAAATTCCGTCATGTGGTCGTGCATCATACAGTGATGACACTGTGTTTTTGAAGTTATGAACATGTATAGTCGCTATCTTGACTTTTTTCCGCAATATTTGATTTTCAAAGCTCACTTTCCATATTAAACCAAACATTTGGTAATGGCTAGTTATTTGGTTTTCCATTTTTTTCAAATTGACTGGACTATAGAAACATTTCAAGATTATGTAAACGAACTTAACCTTTGATCGTACTTTTCTAATTCAATAATACCGCTTTGATATTTTTACTCTTATTTTGCAGAATTGAAGAGGAAACAATGAGCAAGACAAACGTCCGCCATGTTTCTGATTCTATGCTCTATCGAAACGATGGTAATTATATGTACATAAATTAAAACAACTCTCTTGTACAATAAACATGCTTATTAACACTAAGTACTTGTTTTGGGACCTCCTCTCTAAATGTGTTTTATTCATGGTCCTACAACTTAAATGTACTCCGTTTAAGGTTTCATATTTATGTGATATAATAAGAAAAATAACTTATTCCTGTCTGTAGTTTTACATCGCCTTATGAGCCTCTACCATGTTTTCTTCAAATCATTACCCTTGAAGCCAAGCAAATTTAACATAATTCATATGTAGACTTACATCTAAGATGAGTTGACTATATTGAACACATTGCTTCTTTAACTATTTGTTATGTCTATTAACATGTAATTTAAAAGTGCAAAACAAAGTTCTTATGACAATTTTATTGTTAGAGACCTTTGAACTAAAGAACTCTAATTTTGTCAAAAGATATCATAACGTTTTCTTTTTTGACCAATGATAAATAGGCTTACAGCTGATGGTTTTGTAACTTATAATTCCATTGGGTAAAAGGTTGGTAAAATAAAATTAAGTACAGCTATGCTGAAAATAAATATGAAGGGACCTTCATTTCAGAATCTTGGGATACATGCATTGAAAGAAGAAGTGAATCTGGTGCAAAGATATTACTAGAGAAGGAGATTTTACCGTCTAAAAGTGAACTGAACAAGGCGTCCTGTGTATTTGGAAGAGGTTCAACAATCTTTTCAAATATTTGCTCTGTGATAAGCAAACATATAAAAAATATGTCAGTGGATGTAATCGACGTTTGTCCTTCGTACAAAGCTGATAGTAAATCGATTGTTTTTATAGTTTTCTTAAAAGGGACGTCTCAATTTGTCGAATTTAAAGATTATGAATGTAAGAAAATATATGAAAACGAATCGAGTGTTGACGAAGAACATGCTATTGTCTATGAAAGGAAAGTTAACACAAGGAATCAATCTGATGACAAAATTTTCGAAAAGCTCAGAAAATGCATCAACAAAAACGCTGACGATCTTTTTAAAAGGCATAGTAATCTAAATGTGATATTACCTAGCTTGAAAAAGACCGTTGGAAACAAATCAGGCCAACATACAATTATAGAAGAGCCACGTATAACGCTGTTTGTGACAGTTAAGGGATTGATTCCATCGGCAGAGGAACGTTTTAAGAAAGATATAGATGGGTTTCGAACGGATGTTCTTGAGGGAGAATTCAAACCATATTTCGGAGGACCAAACGAGTTCCATGAACATCTGAAGATTGGTCTAGCAATTCGGGCAAACATCGAAAACGGAAGCATAGGAACCCTCGGAGGATTCATCGAACATCCACAACATGGACTTTGTGGAATAACGTGTGCCCATGTTATCTACACTCTCGATGAGCTTAAAATGATCAAAGAAAATACACCGTTTAAAATGGACAAATTGGTTCATCAGCCCACGGCCTACCATACTCCAGCATTTGGTAAAGTAGTTCTTGTTGTTTACAATGAAGGAGATGATATCATGTCGGGTATGGAAGTTGCTATTTTCAGTATACAGGACAGAAAACCAAAGGATGGCAGCTTTCCCAAAGTTTTAAATGACATCCAAGCAGGTACAATTTATTTCTTATTTAATTATGGATCTTCATAGTTTCCAAATGATTAGAGTTTATTTGATTTGATTGAATAATGATCAGCATATATCGGTTGTACTGGAGGAGACTTAAGGTTTGCCCTCCGCCCACCCGTCCGCCATTCAGTTCGTCATTCCGTGTCCATAAAACTGGATCCTGTGATAACGCCAAAGATACTGATTTTTTCTGAAACTTTAAATATTTATAAAATTAATAAGATCTGGAGATTATTAACGTGTTTTCTTTTAGTTCCGATCTTGAAAACTGTGTTTGCTATGACAAAAAATAACATTAAAATATGGCAAATAATACACAAAAACTGAGTCCCGTGATACAGCAAAATTTTTGAAGAAGCATTTGACAGTCAGAAAGATTTCTGCTAGATGGGTGCCACATTTGTTGACCGATGGGCAAAAGAGGCAACGGGTTAAGGTGACCAAAAAGCTGTTTCAAATGTTTCCAAAATATGACAAAAACAGTTTGCCAATGTTGTCACAGGTGATGAAACTTGGGTCTTTTATTTTTAGCCCGTCAGAAAAGTTAAGCCGGTGAAAAAGGGCAAAAGTATCACTGGGAAAGTACTACAAAGACGTAGTACTTAAGAAACTGAAAAAGTATTGTAAGAAACGATGCCCTGTCGTCACAGGTTTTAAGCATATCCGTCTTCTACATGACAATGGCCACGCTTATACCTCCGCATTTGTTTCGGTGTTTTTGAAAAAAAGAAAAAGTAACTGTTTTGCCTCACCCCGTATTCACCAGACCTTGCCCCATGTGATTTCTTTCTGTTTCCGAAATTGAAATCCTTCCTTGCTGGGCGGAAATACAAGTCCCGACAGGCACTTGGATCTGCCATTCATCAGTACCTTATTACTGTCCCCAAATCAGCGTACCATGACGCCTTCAAGAAGCGGATACATCGGCTGAAACTTTGCTTTTCGAGCCACGAGGAGTACTTCGAGGGCATGAAATGAACATTTTAAGCTAACTTGAAATTTGATGTCTCCAGATAGAAATAAGCAATACATTTCGAACATCCCTCGTATGTTAACTTCGATGTGACTCGAAAGTGCGATTCCATTTAAAACGGCGTGTGGTCCCCAAATTAAACGAATGCTTGTGCCCTGAACGAGAAAACAATGGGAGAAACTGAATATAATGACAATTTGAAAAGTGTCCGCCTGCATATCTCAGACAATGTGTACAATGGTCAAAAGACAATATATAAAAGCAGGCGACATATCCTCAGGGTGATTAAACAGTATTTGAGTAGGAAAATAGGAACCACCCAATTAGAAAAAAAAACAAATGTTAGAAATAAGATTGAATTGGTTTAAAGCAAACGTTTAATAGACTTAATTGCATTTGACTCAGGCAGGATAGCGATGCCATCTGCAAGGAAATATTTCCATAGTATCTGGAAACAAATGCAAACCTCTTACATTGATTTTGCACAAACGTTCATTTAATTCATTTATAACTAGGTCATAAAAGAATCGAACATAAGTTACAGTCTTGCCTCCCGCTGTGCCTTTAAACTAAAGAAAACATATATATATTCTCTTTCCGTTTGCTAAACCAATATTTGTGTTACTTGTGAACATGATCACTTACTAAAAACGCACATGCCTTTTTATACCCCTGCAAACAAACCAAGTTTTAGAAGTATATAGGAATCAGCCTGTCCGTCGGTCTGTCGGTCCACATCATGGTTTCTGGACAATAAGTAGAGTAAGAAATGAGATATTGTAATAAACTTGGTGTATAGCAACCTTATGTGCAAACCCCGGCTGGTATTGCATTTGGATCCCCTGAGGTCAAAGTCAAGGTTACCGTTAATTAAAGTACAAAAATGGTTTCCGGACAATAACTAGAGTAAGGAATGAGATATTGTAATCAAACTTGGTATATAGCAATTTTATTTAAAGACCCCGGTTGGTAATCCATTTTGAACCCCTGGGGTCAAGGTAACTGTTACAAAAAGAAGAAAAATGGTTTTCGGACAATAACTACAGTTTGGAATGAGGGATTGTAATAAAACTTGGTGTATAGCAAGCTTATATGAACACGCTGGTTAGTATTAAATATTGACACCCTCGGGTCATGGTCACTGTTACTAAAATAATGGTTTCTAGGAAATAACTAGAGTAAGGAATGGGGTATTGTAAAAAAACTTGGTATATTGGACCTTATGTGGAAACCCTGGTTAGTTTTGCGTTTGGACCTCCTGGAGTCAAGGTCAAAGTCACCGTTTCTAAAAATAGAAAAACAGTTTCCGGACAAGACCTAGAGTTAGGAATGAGATATTATAATCAAACTTGGTTTATAGCAAGTTTAAATGAAGATCCTGGTAGGGATTGCAAATTTATTGAAGTAATTCCTTGTACACAGTTGACACTTCATTTATTATAGGTTTTGTCCAAATTTTCTTCAGACCCCTTTTTTTCTAAAAGTCAAAGTTGCTGGTGGGGGTATTTATCGCCTTTTGTGATAGCTCTTGATCCTTTAGATACCCCTTTAACTATTATACATATTTTCGCTTGAAGTAGTCCAACACTCTTTTTGTTGGGCCATGTACGTTTTTAACTTTTTTCCGTTATAATTTTACAAATATATTAATAATACAAATGTAATTATACGTTTTAAGTTTAACTTTTTTTCAGTATATCAGTAGGCGGAATGAAAAATACAAAAGTGGTGGCAATTGGTCTGTAACAGTCTTCCTGAGCATAAATGCATAAAAAATATCAAAAGATGCAAATTTAAGAACAATTTCAAACGGAGCAAAATGTTTATATGAATTTAACTTGCTATTTTTATATCGGTAATCTTAAGTAGCTGCATATTGTAAATGACGGTGTTGATATTTCTCTTCATTTACTCTTCGTTTTCCATTAACGACAATCTAGTTATAATTGATTCTTGTACTTTGCATAATAATACATGTACCATTACATTATTGATCAGTGTCCTCATAATTGAACTTTGCTGGTAATCTTGATGTTTTGCTATTGTCAGGATTTGATGATGATCATCCACTTTGTTTCAATTCGGGCGATATTCGTGAGATGAAAAACATAAATCCTAGGACTGAAGTTTACAAGCTTGGCATGAGTTCCGGGATAACGAGAGGTAGCTTTGAATTGCAAGGAGCTGCAGTGCGTAGAAGACAAATGCAAGGACGTAGTCACAGCTTTGGATTTCATTTAAAAAATCAAATTGTTATTCTTCCAATTGGACACGACCCTTTTGCAGAACCCGGAGATTCTGGAGCGTTAGTTTTGATGGAAGGTGAAAAAGATTCAGTTGCAATTGGTATTGTTGAAGGGGGTATGCATGGTTTCGTGTTTGTCACACCAATATGTGATATCTTAAGAGCTGCTGGTTGTACGGAATTAAAAATGTACCAGTTCAAAACAGAACAAAAAGCATATTCCACTGACTCGGGGGTAGGAATGGATGCCGACTCGGTTTGATTTGATTCTGTGCATGAAAGATACATGATGGAAAAAGTCAACATCCATACTGCCATGGCACCGGCTTATGTATATGCATTTTTTATATTTTTTTATCAAATGATTATTAAATAGTTTAAGTGCATAAAATTGAAAGATAAAGCTTATACTTGACAATAACTGAAACATTTAAACTTATGTAGGTGTTATTACTTTACATTTTTCATTCCATTTCAATGTGATTAGCAGAAAATATACTTTTCCACTTTTGCAAAGCATCAATTGTTTTACTGTGATTTTTTGCAATGATTTGATAACAATTGTACAGATATAATGTTTGTATATCAACTTTAATCATTTTATAAATTACCATTAAACTTTCGTATGTGCACTATTAACCGGTTTAAACTACCCAGTAGTAAATATTCTGCTGACCGTTCAAAGGCGGCGCCCCTCTATGTGTCTTCTTGTTTCATTCTGTTTTGTGTCCCTTGTTGTTTTCTTCCCTACAGTACGTATCTTCCCTTTTGCCCCTAGTTTCATTTCTTTAATTTTACACCCCTCTCCCAGAATTTCCTATCCCCTTCCCCTGTACTACTTTACAAGTGGGCTTTTTATCTATCAATCCTATAATGTTGATTCCTTGTCGGTTACTGTTATTTCTTATATTATGCATTAATTAGTAAAAAGCCTTACGTGCTCTGCCTTGCGCTCTGTCCTGTTTTTTTTTTTTTTTTTTTTTTTTTTTTTTTTTTTTTTCCTCCTGGCTCTTTGCCGCTGGTTCTTGTCGCTTGGCCGTGTGGGGTTTGCGTTAATTGAAACGCCGGTTTCCTTGGTTGATCTTGTTTATCATATTTTATGTTATATCAATGTTATAGACTAATGTTGCATAAGTTATGTATTATTATTATTTTATTTTTTGTGCAACTGGAGAACATTATAGTGTTGTTTTGAATGAATGTACTATTCTTATTAATGATTTAAAAACATTTTTCAGATGCTCACAAAAAAGGGACATAATGATATTTTTTTTTTCAATTGAAAGTTCAATAATTTTACTGTTACGATTTTTAAAAAATGTGACACACACGCACTGACGTTCTTATCAAACTTACATTATTGGGTTATTCCCTTTTATAAACGCCATAAATTTTAAATTTTACACTGATGTCTTTCCTATGTATATGACCGCGAAAGGGTTAGGAGTTAGATTTGTTTGTTTGTTTTGGGTTTTACGAGTACGTCAAAAGATAAACATATAAATAAATATATAAAAATACCGCTTACTATGAATATGTCGACAAATACTTTACTTTGTGTGTATTACAGAAGGATCACCAGTTGTTTTTTGTTTTTTGTTGTTTTTTTTTCTGTTTTGTTGTTGTTTTTTTTGTTGTTGTTTTTTGTTGTTGTTTTTTTTTTTTTGTTTGTTTTTTTTTTTTTTTTTTTTTTTTTCCTTTTTTATCAATTCATAATTGAAAGTATAAGACAGTCAGGGGTTTCATACACATAGACTACACGTTTATATTAAAATCCTTAATAACTGACAGACTACAGGTTTTATCTAAAATCCTCAATCTCTGACTAACTACAGGTTTATCTTAAAATCCTCATTGATTGACTGACAACAGTTTTATTTTAAAATCTTCAAGGGCTGACTGACAACATTTTTTATTTAAATTCCCCATTAACTGACTGACTACACTTTATATTAAAATCCTCAATGGCTAACTGTTTAATCTTAAAAACCTCATTGGCTGACTGATTACATTTTTATCTTAAATCCTCAATGGCTGGCTGTTTACAGTTTTATCTTAAAAACTTCAATGGCTGACTGAATATATTTTTATCTTAAAAACCCCATTGACTTACTGACTACACTTTTTTCTTAAAATCCTCATTGGCTGACTGATTACATTTTTATCTAAAAATCCTCCTTAACTGACTGACTACACTTTTATCTAAATATCCTAAATGGCTGACTGACTACAGTTTCATCTTAAAATCCTCATTCGCTGACTGACTACAGTTTTATTTTGAAATCCTCATTGGCTGACTGACAACATTTTTATTTTGAAATCCTCATTGGCTGACTGACTACATTTGTATCTCAAAATCCTCATTAACTGACTGACTACACTTTTATCTAAAAATCCTAAATGGCTGACTGACTACATTTATCTTAAAATCCTCAATGTCTGACTGACTACAGTTTTATCATAAAATCTTTTTTGCGCTTGTCTTTGATACTAGCGCCGCTTTCGATACAGTATGGCATAATGGTCTGTTTGCTAAGCTCTTAGATTTAGTGGTCAATGGGCACTTTGTTAGAACAATATCTGCCAGCTATTCAGACATAAAAACCTGTGTTTTAGTAAATGTTGTTAAGTCTGAAAGCTTCCCAGTTCTTCAAGGCGTACGTCAAGGAGGGGTATTATCCACTTGGCTCTACCTCTTATATATCAACGACTTACTAAACATTCTGCAACAAAGTAATAACGGATGCGTCATAGGTCGACTGAAGTGTGGTAACCCTACCCTCACAGATGATCTCACCTTATTATGCCCTAATATGATGTCACTCAAGTTGTGTACGGACATAGTAAAAAAACTATAATTATATGCTTCACTTTGGAGATATCAGTTTAATGACTCAAAGTCAAGACCAGTTGTATTTTGTGACTCACAATCATCCGACTTTTCAATTAATTTTGGAACGTTCTGTATAGAATCCACTAAAAGCACCAAATATGTTGGTATTGACCTTTATAATTCATTTCGCTGCTTAAATGCGGTTAATGCGCGATGCAGACAGGTAAAGTCATCCCTGTTCTCGGTCCTGTCCATAGAATCTGAACCAGGGGAAGTAAATCCGTTAGTCCTTTCAAGCCTTGTCGAAAAAGTCACAATCCCAGTCGCATTGTAAGGATGCGAACTCTGGCATAACTTGACACAGAAGGATTCATTATTATTGGAACGCTTCTTGCGACTAGCAGCAAAATCTATCCAAAAATTACCAACTCGAACCCGCGCTGATATGGCCCTGGCACTGTTAGGTTGGCGTTCTTTTGAATCCCTGATAGATAAAAGAAAACTGTGTTTTCTCCAGAAACTATGCCAAATGCCAAACGATTGCCTTACCAAGCGCATATTTGATATGTATAATGTAAATATGTTTATGCTTAAAGGAGCTAAGAATCAACTAGGATTAATCTCTGATATATGCAAGATACTGGTCAAATATGGGTTATTCAAGTATTTAAACGACTATATCCAATGTTCAGAGGTCCCAACCAAATGGACTTGGAAAAACATAATAAGAAACAATTCTTATAAGATATTGACTGGGAAGCGAGAATCGAATCTGATCCAGAATTCTGCAGATTTCGATCAATTCATATTGCAGTATCTCCCTCTAGGTTATACCTTTTAGCAGATACAACAAATGTTATACGTCATGTCCTCAACGTCATAAGGATACTTACATTTGTCAGTACAGGTAACGAGATCACTTGCCAAGTTTGTCAATTTAAGCAAGGCTGTGATATAAATAGGCATATTATATCCGATTGTCCAGTATTTAACGAAATTAGACGAACATTCTAGGAGAATGACTCCGAAACTTTGGACCATCAGTATTGCGACACATGTGCTGTAATAGCTCAGAACATTTTCTTAGGTGCCTTATTGATCCAGACATTTTGAACATTCTTGGGTTAGATGCTAGCATGTCCCGGTGCTATATAAACCTAACATATAACTTTATCTGTATTGTACAGAGGGCATATGAAGTATTTTGTTAAAACAAAATACCACTAAAATTAATGCCCTTCTTTAGTTACATATGACTATTTATTATATACCTATAAATTTTCTCCCTAAAATACACGCAAATCTTGAAGCGCAAATACGCTTCGACGGATAGATATTTCCGTATTATGTTAGTGACAAATACGGTTCCATATATGGAAGTGCCGGACTATTTTTTGGTTTGGTCCCCGCCTTTTATTTTGCGTTACGTGGTGTATTGAAACGGGAACCAATACTTGCAAAGAGCACTTTGCGGGGAATCCATTGCTATATTTAGTAACGAAATTCCGCTGTCAAAATATATAAACAATCATTTTTTTTACCGAGTTTTATTCACTTTTTTTCAACATTTCAAATGTTGAAAAACCTATAATTTTGTCAAATTTCAAAACCTGTTTAATATACACAAATAACGTTCGCGTTAAAAAAGTGTTCGTGATTTTATAGACCGTCTGCAATTGTACTATATACATGTAGTGGGCGTTACTGTCAATGGTAAAACGTAACGGAGCTCTATCTGTTAAAAATGTCCGACGATTTGTTTGATGATGACTTGGACCTATCAACCCTAACTCAGAAAGGGTATTTTGATGTTGTTGAACAATCTGATGAATTGTTTGGCTTTGATTTTGAGGAGGAGGTTTCCCAAACTGACCATGCCAGTGAACTGAGTGTTGACATAGCCAACTCCCTCATAGATCTACATCATCATTCTGATCCAGTTCAGCATGACACTGGTAATATAAAGAAAGTTAATCCAATCATCACTGAAACTTTGAATTGTTACCACACACAGTGTCCAGAAAATCTTGTTGGTGAGCTAAACTGTGGCAAATCAATACTAACAATCCAACCTTCCTCAACATAACTGATGCAGAAAAAGAAAACTTTGTTATAGGAATGAAAAACAAAACACTGCAAAAAAAAACTGAAACAAGTCTCCGTCAGTTTCAACGTTGGCTGGCTGAGCCACCAAGAAATGATTTGAGGCAAATCTGGAATATAAAACCAGCTGAACTTGACAACTTCATTGGTTCATTCTTGCTGTCAATTCGTAAAAGTCGATGGGTCAGAATATGAGCCTGATACACTCACCGTCA